ATTCCCACCGGGGAGTCACTCGAGTGATCCAGGAGCGCCATGCCTTGGACCTTTGCAAACGTCAAGCTGGACGTGTCTTGGACCTTGGCGCCGGGGTCAGGAGTCCCAGCTGGAGGCTCCCAGCGGTCTCGGTGACGTCTGAAGGTTACCGAGGTCGCTGGAACGGTGGAACGTTTCTTGTTGTCGTTCGATAGACGGATGCTGATACTTTGAAAATACCACCCCAAGCGCTGGAAAGGTGTTCTGGATGCCTTCTAAATTCCCATCAATTCCACACAGTGGTAGTGCAAGGGGACTGACATGAAGGGAGGGAGCAGCCTGGGTGATGAAACTGGTTTCGCTCAACAAACGGGCTTGAGACTAAGAAGAATCACCACTCGCACTCCTACTGGATCCTACTGGTGTAGGTTCAGTATGTTGTCCCTGAACACCATGTTTCGAAAGGTGCTTCGTGGGCAGAAGGAATCACCGATCACCGATCACCTGAGTCAGATCACCCGCAGTCACAATTGATTTGACGGATGAGCTGAGAGTAGTTGGATGCCTCCTTGCCTTAGCGTCCTCTCCGAGCTGTCTAGGCTGTCTAGCCACCCAAGGAATGATAGGAATGGAGTGGGGCCTAAGGAAAGGAGCTTCAAAATACTTCTATAATCTTCTATAGTGGCTGGGCCGCATGCAGCAGATCAGGTCCCGTGCTGATGCGTTGTAGACATCACATGGTTTGCCCGGCGCTTTGCCAACTGCTTTGCCGCTAGCAGCCCCTTGAAAGCCGCAAAGCTTGTTGGCAGGTGAGCACACATGGCAGACTTTGCCTGCTAAAGGCGTTGATTTTGTTCGGGTGTCTCCACCCAATGCCAAAACGCTACAGACATGCAAACATCTCCGATCTCCAGGGAGTCTTGTGGCCAAGATCGCCGTTGATGGATTCCCCCAATCCGAAGCAGCCTGGCAAGTGCATCTCGTGGATGGCAACAAATCCAACAACCTTGAAACCATTTGACCATGTGAATGGCAAGTGACCATGTGAATGCACCCAGCGAGGAGATAAACGCCATGAGTTGGAGGTACCAAGATGCTGGTCAGCAGGTTGTGCTTGGGCAAGAAGGGCCGATCGCAGGTCACGCGACAGGGATACTACCGAAGGAGTTCGTCCATCTTCTGATGATAGAAGGCAACGGTGCAGGAGACAAATGAAATGTTGCCCAAACCCAGGGGCATTTGGGACCACTGCAAAAACTGCTTGGAGGCCGCTTACGTAGTGGAACAACAACTGACAAGCAGAGAGACCGCATAACCCCATGACAAGTGCTGCAAGTGGACTTGGTCTTTACACAGACGTATGAATGTTTCTAAGTGCACCCGAGGGTATGAGTTGCTGCTGGCAGGCACACCGAAGATTCGACTTCTAGCTGAGAAGTGGTGCGCAGTTGATGTGAACGCTTCGCAACACATATGAACACCGTAGATGTGCCCACGGGTTTCCCACTCCCCAGTGAAGCTTCTCCATGGGTCTTGCACGTGTTTACAGAGCACAGGGCTTCCCAAGACAAACGGTTTGAAGTTTGGGGACTGAGGAGGGCCAACCGAGCAATGCCATGGGGCTTCAGAGCATTGAGATGCTGGAGTTTGATTCGGCAAGCACCTACCTACCTACATATATACATACCATCACATTACATTACATTACATTGCATTACAGTACAGTATGTACAGTACATTACATTACATGACATTACTTACATACCTACCTACTTGCATACTTACATACATAGACACGGTCATAGGGTATAGTGTTGTGTTTTCCGGGCCATGAAGAACTCAGTTTGACGGGGACCATTTGGCTCGGATGAGAGGGATTTGATTGTGGTTGACCAAAAGGTGAAGACACTTGACCAGAAATGCACATGGCATGCCAGAATAAACCTTGTTTTGGTTTTGACATACCACTTCTAGGATTTGATTTGATTGGACAAAACGATCATGTTCATCGATCAACTGATGGACAAGCGTAGCCTTACCATCGGATACCCATCCTTGGTTTCCGATCCAGCACGCCAGAGCTGGGCTTGGACCTCAGGCTGGAAGCCACGTTCTGGCCTTGACCTCTCAAGGTGCCGCTCTAGTTGGATCAGCGTGATGAGCGACGTGTGGGTGGTGGAGGAGTTGGTCGTAAACAGACCTCCCACTAAAAGAGTCCAAAGGATGGGTGGGTGTTTGGGTACTGGGAGCAATTGTCCCGTAGGCGAACCAAGTCTTCTTTGTTGGGAGAGGATTCGGAAAGAGGCTTGCAGGAGGTTAAACTCCAGTAGAAAGGAGCGTTCAATGTTTTGTACTTTTAAAAGTTGCCTCCAGGTAGGCCCCTTAGCACACTGGGTGACACAAACATCAAAGCAGGCATGAGAACTGACCTTCATACCAAGCAGCTTTGCGGAGACAATGAAGAACCATCAGCACCCCGCAGATTCATTGCATTTGTTTGGCTGCCATTATCTATCCATACCTTTGTAATACACTTGTATATCATATCCATAAATATCCATTTACAAGCCCTCGGGACCTACAATTCCCTTAAATGAGCATGGATTGTGTGCACATATCCCAGGCCAAGTGAACAGACACTGTTGTCGTTGTTTTATTCTAGTTTTGCGTCGGCTCCTTGTGGCTTAGTGTGCAAAGCCACATTTCACAGGCATTCACGTTGGGCCTTCACTACACCTTCCCGCATCCATGAAGCAACAAGACAACAGCAAGTGTTTGAATCATGTCATGGCATAGGCACCGTTGTTCAGAGCACTGCACCAACTTTCACTCTTGTTTTGTCAACTTTCCCCGTGGAGAGCAAGCAGGCCGGGTGCCGCGGTGACAGTGAGGTTTAGAGCGAAGGCGAAGGGCACCAATACAGTGACGAGTTTAGATGGACATGTGATTTTCAACAGATGCTGAACTGCTCAATCTTTGTAGAGCAAGCTCTTGACGAGACTATCGACCATGCGTCCAGTTGACTGACTTTTGCACCAGACCCTGGGAACTTCAGTTCAAAAGTGGAACTATTACATGCTCCAGGGAGGCGGATGAGAGCTGTACAATCTCAACTAGTGGCGAAAATGGCTGCCAACCTCCTTTGCCGTGAAAATGACTTGTCACCGCCAGGATTTTGCTGAGTCTTTCGGACTTCACCCAGCGCCGCGATGGGTGTTGGCCCTCTCACGAATGGTGCCATGAGTGCCATGAAATGCTGCACGGACCGGGAAAAACCCGACGAAGAGAAAGCGCCCAGCGGCCGCTCTGCGAGCGAGGCCGCTGGAATCCGCCGCCGAGTTCGGAGAGTTCCATCCATTGCTTAGCGCCAGGAAATGGTGCTTTTTGGTCATCAAGGAATGAAGCACGATTCTGCGTAGGCCACAGTATATAAACCGAACTGGTTGGGCCAAACATATGAATTTCAGTTCTCAGATGAGAGCAGTAAGTGCTATAATGCTTGCATCAACTTCATCCTCCAGATGTTTGGGTCCGACAGTATATGTCTACTACTTACCACCACCACCACCACTGACTGACTGACTGACTGACTCATTCACTCGCTCACGACTCACCGACTCACTCCCTACCTACCTACCTACCTAACCTAACCTTACCTTGCCTTACCTACCTATTGCTGCTACTCCTGCTGCTGCTGCTGCTGCAACAACGCACAGGAAACAGATGGAAAGCAACTATATTAATCCATATTTTGTAGATTTCCCTGCTGGATGCCCAGCCCGGTCATGATGGGCAAGGAACCATGGTTCAGGGGTCAGTGAAGGCTACCTCCCCCAACAATTTGTTGATATTCTTTGGAAGTGGAGCAGGGGTCTTGCTCGGTTTGACCGCTGTTCAACGTGGTGTTGTTTCCCGTCCGTTCTTTGTGCGCACCGCCGGGGCTGGGGTTTGGTGGCAGCCATTGAATTGGCAGCTATGCCATCCTGCCTCACCACACGATACCATACTTCCCGATGCTTCGAATCTTTTGGCCCGAGAGTTAGCGTCATGGTGAGATTTTTTAACAAGAGGCATGCTTTCCATCGAAGAATTGACCACATGGAGGGTTGTCGGAATGCGTCACAAATGAGTCGCACATCAAGAACCCAAACATGTTTTTCCTGGTACTTTCGGGGGATGACGATTGTGAACATGTAGGTATAGTTTTATGTATTATAGATAATACATAAACATACATATATATATATATGTGTGTGTGTTCCCTCGGACGCAACTGACTGTGCGGAGATATTTTCCAGAGGCAGCCCCTTCATTGTGTTCGCAAAGATTCCAAACCACCCTTTGTTCATGGGAAATTCTCGGGGGATATGCAAGGGGATGCTCATGACTCATGTCTTCACTTGCTCCTGTCAGCTAACTGAGTGACTTGATGTAGCTGTATACCATTGTTGACGTTGATTTTCAGAAATTACAGGTGCAATCCTGATGGTCCACCTGTTGCCACTGGGATTGCTCGCTCTCATCCGCTCCTCTAATGTCACGGCTCCTTCCCGGCAGCGTGATGGCTTCCTTAACAGAGTCTGCTTCTGACAGTGATTCAGATAGCTCGGACAGCTACCTGGCGGTGGAAACAAGCTGTCAAGACCTATTACTGAAACCGTGTTGTGTGGTGCGAACCACCACACGACTTCTAGATTCTAGATATTTGACCAAGACCTCAAAGCGAAAAGCTGAAGACAGACTTGACTCCCGGATGACAATTTGGTGCATTAGCTTCGCTCAAAGAGCTGTGAAACTGAAGAGTCATGAAGAGTCTGCATGTGTCCAAACTTGTTGAGATCGTGTAGCGGAGCGGGGCAGGATAGCGAGATGGGCTCGACCAAATCAAAAGCAACCTATGCGCTCAGTGCGCACCTTTTCCAATGACCTCCTCGGTCACTCCATAGCCAGGTCGTGGCGAGAGCTCAACAAAGGGGCCCCTTCTCGAGAAACAAAGGGGCACCAGGGAAAATCAAATCAACTCAAATCACTGAACCTGACATGCCGTGGTGAGTGTGTTGCACCAGCACAAAAACGTTCAGGTTCAGTCCCTCTCTCATGGCCGGTTCGGCCTCGGCAGCAGCATTGCCGGACAAGTAGCCACTGGCATCGATTGCAAGGGCCTGGAGAGTGTCAGCTGCTGCCAAGTGCTGTGCCTGGAGGATCAAGGTCTGCTCCACGTAGCTATCCATGGCTCCATGGGCCTGAAGTGGATGGGAATCGTGGCCAAGTGCATCATCCACCTTTTGGATCGCATTTCGACCCTCTCTTTTGTTCTTCTTTGCGGCCACAAAGTTGGGGTCATAGGCGATCGACCAGAGCCAGGTTCGAAGAAACTTCATGAGACCAATCCTGGCCTCTCCACGTTTCTTCGTGAGGGCATCGGCAAGGTCGTAGCCCGATGCGAGCCAGCGCAGCTCACATCCAACCCTCTTGAGGTTGTCCCGCAATTGGAATGCTTGCAATGCCGCCCTTATATTGGATAGCCCTAGGAGAGGGCTCTCATTCAGCTCCACTGCATCGTAGCCTCCACGGCTATCCGTGCAGACGACCCCGCGCACCAGCTGCGCCTGCTCCTCCGCCATGGTGACCAAGTCTGCGCGGCGCTCAGGGCAAAGAAGTCCGCATCCATGAAGTTCGCTCCAAAGCATGCGAACTCGGAAGTTCTGATCTTCCGCCTCCAGGATGCTCTAGACCTCAGCATCATTGCTGCCCACTGCCTTGCGCTTCAGCTTCCAGGTCCTCCATGCCAGGAGACACATGGGTGTCACCTTTCCAGCCAGAGATGCTGGCCCGGCGGCCAGGGTGAGAAGACCGCCGGTGGAGTCTCCTTGTGGTTTGTTCAGGTGGCTCCGGTCACCCATGGAGATGAAGATGATGTCGTTCCAACATCGAGTGCCGGGCAGGCGAAAGAACTGCAGGTTCGTGGCCTCAGACCGAACTTCCTGAATCATCAACTGAATCTCCTTTGCAGTGGCGGTGGTGCCGTTGGTGATGACTTCAGTCAACAACAAGTTGCATCGTGCACATAGCTGAGGCTGGGTTTGGATGGCCAACCATTGACATGCCCCAATTGCCGTTCTGCAGGCACCAACCTCGGCCTTTGACAAAGGGCCGTCTTCACGAAGGCGAGTTGCTGGGATGTCAAGGTCAGCCACGGTCTCGATGTAGGCCTCTTGGTCAATGACAATCTTGAAGTTGCCATCGGGCTGAACCTGAGTCTTCAAGTTGTCCTTTTTGGCGGTGCCCCATTTGTAGGCACCAAGGATCTTGGCATAGATCGTTGCCCACTCTGGACTGTGTGGGTTGCCAACAACGTGGAAATCGTCAACGTGGCCGCCCATAGCACCCAAAAGACACGGTCGGCCATGTTTGTCCTTGTGCTCCTTGGGGAACCAGGCCCATAGGCATCGCTCACCCATAATAGGTGTCGCTTCCAGTTCAAGCAGTTTGCGATGCAAGCTGAGCCATAAGCCACGTGGAGCCGTTGTGGAGCCATAGATGTTGCGAAGTACTCGCATCACGCTGTTGTCGGAGAGGTGTAGGGCGTCTCGCAACTCTTTGACACCGCTAGTCCAAATCTCTTGATCAGCTTCTGTGGGAGCTGTTTGCAGGAAGGCGGTGGCCAAGTCCAATCCATGGATGGGCCATTGGTGGTGTGTAGCCAGCAGGTACATGATGTTGCGCCCGATCGTAGACATCACAGGAGCCGATGTCTTGAATGACCTGTCCAACAGTGAAGGATGTTGGAAGCCCAAGAGAACAATTCTGGCTTTCGCCTTACGACTGCCGTCGAGATCCAGCACAGTGTTCTTGTCGTTGACGGCGGATTGTCGAGCGTCAGCCAACTCATCAGGGGGTGTTGCTTTCCAGGTCAGGACCCAACGGGCTTTGATGATGCGGTTGCTTCCAAAGGCTTGCCGGATTTCAGCATCATTGAGACATTTCCTCAAGGCGTTGTTCTTGATGAAGGAACCGACCTCTTTGGCCTTAGCCCGCTCAAACAGTGCGCGCTGGTAGGGCGTGAGCTTCTGGAGTTGAACTTCTGCACTGCCCATCTTCTTGGTCAGGTAGAGGATGGGATTGCGCTCAAACATCTTTTGCTGGCGATGACTTGCCAGGTGGATGTCAGACTCAATCGAAAGCACTTCCTCAGCAGCCATGAGAGCTGTCCATAGAAGCCACCTCAAGGCGGGCATCCGCCTCCAGTTGTTCCACCCACTTGAGGTCATAGTCATCGTGTCGAGGACGTTTGGGATCAGGAGCTTCAGGATGAGGAGCTGCCTGAGGTGCATTGTCACCGTCCTCATAGTCATTGAGAGGTGCCTGGTATGGAAGGAGTGTACTCTGGATCAACAGGGATGTCATCTGGTGCAGATGCTTCCTTTGGCACATACGATGGGGGTGCTGCCGATGAACTTGAGCCAACTCCAACAGGTGTTGACCGATGAATCTTGCGCCAATCATCTGGTCCCAGTGTTGACTTCTGGGTCGCCCTTCTCGCAGGAAGCATCGATGATTCATCCGGCTGTGGAGGTAGATGAGGTAGTTCTAGCTGCTCAGGCGGTGGCACTTCATCAGTGATGTCGGTGAACTCGCGTTGAGGTAGAAGATCAGATAGCGAGCGCCGCTGGGTGATATCCTCTTTGTTGTGGAGCTCGTGTTTTTCAGTTGGAGTCACCGGTCGGACGGAGTGCACACTGCATCGAAGGAGCTTGCCTGAGACCAGGGTAGAACCTCGGTGCAGATGACTCTGCCAGGACCAATCCATCCAGGTCGACTGCTTGTCTTCATGCCACCACGTGGACCTTTGTGAACTTCCTGAGGAAGGACTTGTCGCCACACCTTCACCAAATCAGCCACTTGAAAGGAGCGAAGTGGCTGACGAACCTTGCTGTTGCCAAGGCGTGACAGGATCCTCTGAGATCTGGACTTGGTGGCCACTTGTTCTGCCCGAAGACGGGCTGCAACCAAATTGCCATAGGTTGCACGATCGCTCAACTGAGAGAAGGTTCTCCGGTCCTCCTCACTTATAGTGTAGTCCCGTCCAAAAGCCCATTGATGAGAGCTGTATCCACTGACATACTCGGTGGCATTCAGTGCGCTAGCTGCCAAAGTGAGAGAGACGACTGGATCTTGGGTGATGTTGTCCAGCTGAATTGCACTGGCAGTGAACTTCACGTCCTTGATCGCATGCTCCACCAGGCCATGTGCCCAACCTTCTTTTTCAGCCGGGTAGAAAAGCTCAATGCCCAGCTCTTGGCAGAATTCACCAAATCGAACTGAGGTGAAGGACTTGGCATTGTCAGCCACGATGCATTGTGGCCGAGGGTACTGGTTGAGCCAGTGGAGAGTGATCCCCTTGATGATCATGTCGGCATTCTCCACCTTCATAGTGGTGATATCATAGGCCTCCATGAGGGGGTAGACAGCACAAGGCGAGTGGCCATGTCAATCATGAGAAGGAACTTCTGCTTGGTGACCTTCCCAGGTATGGACCATTCTGCAACATCAAGGCCTAGAACATCCCAGAGTCCAAATTGTGCATGAGTAGCGGCTGGAGGTACATTGCCGCTTGAAGAACCACCAGGTCGTAGACCATCACATGTGGGACAATTGAATTCTTGTGCCATGCGCACTTTCCAGGGAGCCAAGTTGGCATCTTTCACAATTCTTGCCAAGTTGCGACTGCTGCAGTGACCAGCCGCCTTGTGGAAGTGGATGAGGCAAGCATGCCATTTCTCTTGTTCCTCCCGTGAAGGAGGTTCAGCAGCCACCGGAGGTAATTCTCCTTCAGGTGAATCGGGTACTTCATGTTCAGCAGCAAATAGAGGCATTGACATCCTGCGGATCTGCCGGTTGGAGGTGTTTTGCTGTGCCCAAAAGCGAGCAATGGATTCTACCATCTGCTTGGGGTAGTAGGCAGTCTTTTGTGTTTCTTGCCCTTCAATACGTACATGGCAATGTTCACCAACACAGACCTTGGTCCTGAACTGGGCGTGGAAGAGCTCTTTCCACTTCTTCTTAAGCAAGTCCCCATGGGCATCATAGAGGTGGTAGCGGCAGCCATCAATGCGACATGGAAGCCAATCCATGCCAAGCTTCATGAATGGCTTGCATAGGTCGTTGATCCCAACCATAGCAAGGATGAGGCCATTCCCAGTAGACCAGAGTGTCAGGGTCTTCTTCAAGGGTCTCATCCAGGAAGTGATACATCTTCCAGAGCATCTTGCGTTCACGACGACGGAAGGCTTCGAGCAGAAGCTTACGCTCTGGAGTTGAGTAGTTCGCAGCTGTCCATGGGCACCACTTGGTACAGGGCAAGGAGATCCATAGCCGTTGAGGACGACGTTGACGTCGAAGAGCTCGAAGTTCTTCCCAGGTGCTGTCCTTGCAGAGGTCATAGCCAGCCTCCAGGTTGATGCGCTGGGATTCAATCCTTGCCGAGCTGCAGCTTCACTCAACCAGGAGTGTGGTGAACATGCCATTTCCCACAAGCCATCGGAGTCGTCAAGGGCAAAGGTGTTCAGCATCGAAGAAGCTGCCATCATCATAGTGGTTGCCATGAGCATCACTTTCTTGGCCACATGGTGAGTGACCGGTTTCACCTTCTTCAACTCGTAGGCGGTGGCCAGGTCCTCGGTCGGCACTGGAACAGCTGCCACTGCCACCTGTCGCCTTTCTGGCAAGAGCCGCATCAGCTGCTCCTTCTCGTCCAGAGTCATGTTGTTGACCTGAGCCTGAGGTGCGTGAGGTGTCACCAGATCCCAGCCGGAGGATGTTCCCGGAGATGATGGCGGGGTTGCAATCCTCGTCTGTTGACTGGGTGCAGCCTTGCTCTTGGCATAGCCTCGATTGGATTGAGTCTTCTGGCGGTCGATCTCGAAGTCGATGGCATTGTAGAGGGTCTCCTCTGCATCCACCTTGCGCTGCATAGCCAGACAGATCGCTGCCGTGGGCTTGTGTCCCTTCATGAGGCTCTGCAATTCGGTGAGCACCTTGTTCGTCATGAAGGCGTTGTCGGCCTTGGTGTGAGCGCTGCTGCTTCCCTTCTTTGGAGTGTAGCGCAACCTCAGGTTGCAGGTTGCACAATGCACCCACTGACCGTGTGCATTCGCTCCCACATTGGTGTCCAGGTGATTCCCGTAGCACGGCCATTGAGATGGGTCCGCTCGAGGGTCGCGGCCATCCATGTCCATCACGCGCTTGTGGTCCAAGGGGCGCGGTGGGGCTTACTCTGGAGTCATCGACTTGATGAACTCCAGCATGTCCCGTTCTTGTACTTGGCGAGGTCCTTGTGCCATGGGTCAAAGGCGAAGGAGCGGACACGATCGAATTGAGGACACATGAGGTCAGCTGAGCCATCCGCAGTTCGGCGACCGTGAAGATGAGCATGAAGTGTCAACAAGTTCATACGAGACTGTGCCATCACCTGTGGATCATGTTCTTGAGGACTATCATGTAGACTCATGTCATACACATCAACTGCATGAAACTCAAGCTTTTGCAACTCGACCGACTGGAGCTCACCCTCGAGGACTTGGATGTTAGGGGAACCTGATGAACTAGTAAAGCCCAAGGTGAGGTAGTAGACAATGTCCCGAATGTAGTGTCCCTTAGAATTGGATGGAAGTTGATGGACCTTGGGTTCCGGGTTCAAGGACTCGAGGGCCAAACCGGTGATGAAGTCGATCGTGAGCGCCGATTCCGAAGCGTCCCTTCCGGCCACGTGGTCCGCCATGCCCAACAAAACAGGAACCATATTGGACTTGTCAAAACCAGGCTTTCCAAAATCATCTGGATTGGGGAGCAGTACAAATGGAAGCTTCGAAGGTGGCCAGAAACCTTTGAACTAATGGTGACCTTGCAGTTGGCCTGTCCCCATCGCCCATTCCCAAAACGAAAGTAGGGCCGCAAATGCTTGCGAATGGTTACGGCGGCTCCAGAGTCAGCTGTGAGAATGGACTGGATGAGGTTCTTCACGTCTCTTCTGGTCCGGCAGAAGCAGTAGCGGCTGCGCCGCAATCTATCAAGGCGCTTCCTGAAGGCAGCTTGGAGGTGGCCGTGGTGTTCATGGCCAAAGGTTCATCATTCATGTCCAAGCCGTAAAACATCTCTGATGCATAGGCGTTCACTGGAGGTCGGGATGTTGGAGAGGCTTTGGACTTGCCTTTCCCCTTCCACATGGCGCGGAGGTCCATCACATGGGCATGCTTGCCCTCTCCGCAGTCTCCCAGTCAGCGAGGTAGAAAGGTTTCCCTTTCCACCACCATAGCCCTTTCCCTTGGGGAATCCGCGATCAGTGCAATCGCGAGCCAGGTGCGAGCCACCGCAACGGAAGCAGCGAATCTCGTTCGAGGAGCTCGGCCTCTGTTGGCCAAAACCACGGTCGCGGCGGATCGCCGCAGTTGCACGCTGAGCCTCCGACCATGTTCTTTGAGCCTGCGTAGCCAGGCCCTCAGCTTCTTTCTCAGCTTGCAAGGAATCTTGTAGTTCTTTATCTTGAGGATCATCGGGAGGAGGTTGTTCCGCGTGACCATGGTGAGCTTCATGCCAATTGCCAATCACCATCATCCCATTCATGTTCATTCCATCCATCATCTTGTTGAGTCCAGTATCCATCGTAGCTCTCAGGCCACCAGGTCTGGCAATCGGGCTCCTCATGGACCGCAAAGGTGTCGTGCATGTATAGTGGATGGGTGAAGGACTTCTTGAAGAGGTGGTCACACGACCAAGAAATTGCTCGTCCCAGAGGGTCTGCAAGGCCTTAGTGACCACATCGAACTCAAGGCTTCCCTTCGTTGCGGGCAGGATGTCCCTTTTCTCTTCAGCATTGAGGCCTGCAGATTGAAGTAGCCTGAAGCCCCTGAGGACAAAGGAGTCAGCCAGGGAGAACTCATCAATGCCGCCAAAGCCAGGTGGTGCATCAGTCATTGCAACACCCACAGACCGATGGCTAGGAGTGCCATCCGTTGGAGGTCGACGATGTGGAGTTGAGGCGCCGACAGAACCATCTCCACCATCAGGTGTTGTTCTTGCCGCTGGAGAGGTGTCAGCAGCAGCTGCAGCACTTGCCATTCCATCTTCAGGGACTTGAGGAGTCTCCGTGTCCTGGTAACCATGGTTCCACCAGTCATCACGCTCAGAACGAGGCTCCTCATCGGGAAGGTCAAAGTTCTTCTCGTGTTGCTTGATGCCCTGCTTGTCCTCATAGAGTCCTAGAGCAGCAAGAGCGCCTCCACAAATTCAGAGTATCCAAGAGCTTCTCTGACCAGGAAGCTATTCATGGCCTCATGCTGTTCTCGGCGGAAGCTAAAGTATTGCTGGCAGGTGGCCGCTGCATTGGGTAGCGTTTGCCGCACGAATGGACTGCTTGCTTTTGGAGGAAGTCCTTGGTCCCGTTGACATGGTCGAAGTCGGTGGTGGTCTAGAAGGCGAGCAGGTCCTCTCAACTTGCTCACCAACTTCGTAGCGCAGTAGCGCCGCTTCTCAACAGCTGTCCCACGGACAAACCAGCACACCTCACGTGTGTAGCGCCGCCAGCCACGTGCATTTCCATCCCAGGATGGGATCTGAGTCTCACGCTCGGACGCCATGGCCGCGTCCTGGAAGTCAAAGTTCAGGTCAAAGTGACCAAAAAGAAAAAGAAGACCAGTTCGAAGAGCTCGTACAGGTCAAAGGGTCAGGCACCGTCACCTGAAGTGCACAAAGCAAGGAGGGCAAAGGGGGCAGTTGCCGTCCAAGGGGGCAAAAGCGAGGAAGATGTAGACACGTAGTGCGTCCAACCACCAACCAAGCACCCAAAAGGTAGTCGAAGCGAAGCCAGCCGATCCACCGAGATCAAACCACTTGGTGGTGCTCTCAACGAAAAACAGCAGGCCCCCGGAGCAACTGCTCCGCTACCAATGTAGCGGAGCGGGGCAGGATAGCGAGATGGGCTCGACCGAATCAAAAGCAACCTATGCGCTCAGTGCGCACCTTTTCCAATGACCTCCTCGGTCACTCCATAGCCAGGTCGTGGCGAGAGCTCAACAAAGGGGCCCCTTCTCGAGAAACAAAGGGGCACCAGGGAAAATCAAATCAACTCAAATCACTGAACCTGACATGCCGTGGTGAGTGTTGCAGATTGTTTATGCAACAGTGTCGCCCCCACACTGGGTGACAGTCCAAAAATCAGGTAGACCATTCCTTTTGAAGACCTTTGGTTCGGGAATTCCCTGAGAATTGGTGGGAAGTCAGTCACTGTTGCTGGATGGGGGATCAACCCGGGCGATTTGGAGAGTGATGTGTGTGGAGTTGCCCTTTGACAATCTAACTTTCATATTGAAGCTGCCAAAGAACTCATAGGCCCCCCCCGACATCCCCGGATAAGTGTCGTTCAGCAGTTTGTGGGAATGGGCATCCTGAACATTCTGTCCCACTGGATGTGGGTCGTTCTTTTTTTTACCCATGTTTGACGAACAACCGGATACGAGCACGCCAAATATGAATTTGACTATGAATTAAACTATACAACATATTTAAAATATTTAAACATGTCGTTTCCTCAGATCCCCCTCCAGCTTTCCTTCCGGTTGCGCGAACCACCGCAAACGTCTAAGGCTCGGACCACGGCGAGAGCCCTGACCAGGCCGAAGGACGACGTCAGGCACGGCTCCTGCGGAAGATCCTCGTTGACCTGGAGGGCTCCGTGCTCCGCGCTTGGCGACGCTCGAAGGACAGGCGGAGAACGCCGCAGCCGGAGGAGTTGGCGAACATGCAAACTTGGTCAAGATGGACATTATGTGATAAGCGAATTAGATGTGACAAGTGATAAACAATAAAGTTAGAAGACATCACCCGTAGACCACTTGAAGGAGAGACATGGCAGTGACATATGTGACATTCATGTAGGCCCAGAAGATTGACAAAATAATTTGGCGTGCCAGCTTTCAGGGAGACCGCGGGCAGTGTGTGTGTTTGTTTTCCATATGTCCATATGCATGTGTTTGTTGCGATCTTTTCTGGTTCCTCAGCTGGATGGTGAAAGGTACATAGTAGATCATAGTAGAAACTCTTGGTGTATCTCAAGAATCTTGGTGTCACGAATGGGTAAGCATCCGGATCCACTGAAAACGATCTCCAGATTTTGGCCAACTTTGCACCTCCAAGATGCTGTTTGTTCGAGAGTGCCACAAGCAAGTCATCCTATATATAGGAGTGCCAGTGGTACCGCTTGAATCCATTAGATCCTTTGAAGTTATTGTAATTAGTTTGCAGCATTGTTTGCGGGAAACTCCGTCCATTACCACCCTCCAACCATTATATGCAATGTGTTGTATTCCAGCATATTCCAGCCCAGGTCTACTTTTGGAGGCCCAAATAGTCTGACCCATTTTCTTGGAACCGCTCAACAGAAGTGTACTCATCAGTTCGATCAATCCCCACTGATGTGGCCACAGCTGCCATGCTTGCCACCGGTGTGCACTGAGGGAAGTTCTTTGAGGACACCGACAGTTCCGGACGGATCAACGAGTGCTTTGGCCAGTTTTGGCTGACCGAAGCATTCTTGTTCCTAGTAGCGATGCCCTTTGTTACCAGCTTCTTGCTCCTGTAGTAGTATGGCCAGGAGCTACTAGTAGCGTTCTTTAGGGGTGTGTGTTTATAATATAAGGAGGGGTTTCAATTACATGTTCTTGCAGGTAGTTTTTATTTCTGCTCCTTTGCCATGTCAATGACAACGGCGAAGATGGGCCTGAGAATGGGGATGGGGGTGACACTGCTATGTTAGGTGGGAACAAATTTTGCCAAATTTGTTTGGCCTCAAAGTTGTGCCTTGCACATGCCATTAGCTGCTCCACCTCAACGTAAGCTGCACATGTGCAGATCACGCAGACCCTATATAGCGGCCTAGCCGCAAGCCTCGAACCCATATGAGATGGGAATCTAGAGACCTTCCCCTTCCTCGGGGTCAAACTGGGCGGTCTTCCTATTGCAAAGATCGCCCAGTTGCACCCCCACAGATGGTTGGTTCAGTGTGGCAACCGACCGCGCTCCCAAAGTTCCGCAAGATTTGTAGCGTTTGGTCCACAATAAAGCATAGACGGTCGGCAAGGGCGAGGAAAACAGGATGAGGATTCAGAAGATGTGAAGGTGACAGATTGAGGTGATGAATAGGACCAGGAGACAAGCTGAACTTGTATATAAACCGCTAACATCGCAAAATTTGTCCCAAGCCATCCCAAAGCCCAGTGATATGAACATCCCCTGCAGTAGAGTCTTGTAGCCCCAGTTGATCAAGGTGACAGGACAAAGTGTTCAGGCCACATCAGACATGGTCCGCTTACTTTGTGTCACATCTCAACTGGCTACCGCAAATGGACATGGATTATATCAAAACGGTGATGTTGTTCGCTTTTCCTCGTTCGCCCCTGGTTTTTGGGGTGTCACACATCGTGGCTCTTTGGCTTGATTGGCTGACGTGCCGACCTCCAACCTCGGATCCTTGCGCGTGCTCAGCTCCAGGTTTCAGTTCGTGCGCATGTGTCGGCAGATCAAGTTCCCAGCCGACCCAATACAAGTCTTCCGGTATTTGGATGACGACGGGTCCGGAGAGCTGACGTTGGAGGAAATGGACCCGGAAGGGAACTACATTTGGGCTCCTTGGAATCCACCAAAAACATGTTCCTCTTTGTTTTCGCGCACGTTTTCTTGGGTGAAAGCAGTGTATAGGCCATAGTACAGGCCCTTATAGGCATCACTGTACTTACGTACCTTAAACGCATAGATCTGATAGATGATAGAAGAGAACCGGCTGTAGATTCCAGAGGCCTCTTCAGGTTCAATGCAGCTCCTGTTTCCGAACTGGTTGTGTGCATTTGCTAGGCCACCTTCGTGGAATGGTGCTCTCAAAACTTTGCAGGAGGTGCTGACTTCGTTCAGAAGCTTCTTCCAAAGAATGCAAAGGAGAAGAAGCTGACAGCTTCGCAATTCAAAGAAGGGATTGCCGCTTGCTTTTGCCCAGATGAGCGGTGGGTGTTATTGGATCTTTTGATTTTTTGTGATTAACTTGAAAGAAGTAGAGGGCAGGGCCTTCCCTGGGGGGGCTGGATGTTTGGCTTTCCAAGTGTTCATCGGCCATCATCCACTTGGATTCTCACCCCATGCATCACCCCATGTATAACATACCTCCACCCACCCCTTTCACTCACGGATGGGCTCCCCAGGTGAAGTCTGGGTGGAGCCATGGCGAGGAGCAGCTCCTTTTCCGGGCCGTGGACCTCAATGCTGATCAGGTCATTGATGTGCAGCTCGTCGTGACAGTGACATCCGGGCCCAATAAAGGTCCGTGGGCCAAGGAGAGCGTTCTTAGGGTAGTTGCTTCATGTGACTGAAGGTGAATATTTATGTGGGGGGGATCCATGGCCCCCACACATATAAGTGCTATAATTACATATGACATATCGCGAGTATATACAAGCATCATTTCGCACGATTTGACGACACTGAACCTCTAAGATCCTTTAAGAGTACCTTTAAATCCTCCCAATGAAACACCAATACCCTCTCACAATGAACACATGACGCCCCCCACCGGGTTACAGGAAAGCGCTCAGCCCTTGGCATCCATGGTCTTGGCACCCCCATGTGCGGACCAGCTCGGTGTGACTCGTCAGGAATGACTTGAAGTGGTTGGACGTCCAAGCCAAGCGTGCCCAGATCAAGCGAACAGCCCGGCAGCGTGCCTTAAAGGAACGGAGGAAGCAGACCTTGAACCCGAAGATGGTGTCGGTGACCATGAACGATGCCCGGACAGATAAGTGAAAGGTTTGTCGGTTTAGACGAGAGAAAGAGCTTGAGTTTGAATGGACATCTCTGTATGGTATCCTATTGCTGTTCGTGTTTCTGAACATGGATGGTTGCTCAGCACTTGTGAGTGTCACAACCATTCACAAGCATATCAGCATATTTTGGGCACCTCGTGGTGGGTGGGAATGGATGTTTGCCCAAGCCTAGGAGTTCAAGGAACGCCTGAAGCGCATGTGCGGGAACTACTTGCGTGCCTGGCGCTTGGCCTTGAGTCCCAACGACTCGGTTACGATCTCCAGGACACAGTTCCTGACAGCCTGCTCCAACCTGGGCTTCAAGGATGCTGGCAAGGTGCCCGTATTGGGTGAGGATATGTGGGGATAAATGAGCATGTGAGCCCACAAGGACTCGAACTAGGTAGGGAGAGCCAACAATCGGGCACATGCAGGACAGCGAACATTTCTATAGGCAGAGCCATGATCAGAACAAGTGAATGAGTTGCTGTACCTCAACATTGAACCTGTATCAGAAATTGAGTTTACAGTACTAGTTTGCAATGGTTTACAGTTTAACCCGAACTGACCATTGCTTTGTTCGGTGAAGCTTGTTTGACCACAGGTGCACGGTTGCAAATTCATCACCAGGACGTGCTTGCAAGTAAGCCCAGCCCTCACCAGACCTGTGCTGACCTGGGATCTTCGTTCCATCGGCAGGTTCTGTGGCACGCATTTGGCAAGGACGAGCTCAGCCAGGTCTCCTTGGACTTCTTGGATGTGGAGACAGCAGAGGTGGAGGGTCACCAGATCTGATGCGGAAACGCGAGCAAAGAGACATTCCGGCTACAGCATGTTCAAGGAGCTGTTAGGTTGGAAGTATTTGGAAGTACTTGCACCGCACCCATATCTATTCATCCGACATCATATTGTTCACTCCTCCAGGATGTTCACTTCTAAACAACTTGCACCTTGGTTCCTTTCATAGGGGGTTGCGAACCACGCCTTAGCAATTTGGCAAGGGTTGTTGTGTTCTTCAGTGGTTGGTCTTGTTAGATTTGTGTAGAGCAACTAGTCTTGTTTCACGGGTAGTGAGTCGGGAGGAGCCACACAAATGAAAGAGGTTGGGTGTGAGCACAATGAGTTCAAAATGAAGAGGCTTGTGTATCGGTACGCAGCTTGAATTGGCTGAAAGGTCCTGGCCCACTTCCAGCGTGTGGTGCAGCAATTGGGCGGTGTTCAGGCGACGGGTCGGGTGTGTTGCCGGGCGCGAACCCGCACGGCGGAGACGGGCGACCCCCTGAGACGGCCAAGTCGATTTTAGCAGCAGAAAAGACATGAAAAGAACACACATAGATCTATTGTTGAAGAGAATCTTTAACTTTAAATAGTCAATAATCTCCTTTCGAAGATCTTGTTAAAACTCTATAGACATCTATAGACTATAGATCTAAAATAGTCAGTTCTGAAAGGAGATTGTTGAAGTGGGGTTCCCGTTCCGAGCCGCTGGTCTTCGAGCGCGAAATAGTTGAATTTCTTGATCGTGGTGTTGCCTGCACCATTTGTAGCAGTGTACCACGTGAATTTACTTGTTGCGTCTTGGCATTTCTGACCGCTGATTTGGGGAAGCTGACAGCTTCTCGAATAAATACCATAAATGCTTTATTTGTTTCTCGGGAGGTCCCCTTGAGCACAGATTATACAGGCATTGAACATTCTGAACATCCTGCTGATTGAGTTGAGGCTGCGTGGAGGGTTTTTGACAAGAAAGATGTGAAGAGAGTGAAGCTGCCAGAGTTTCTGGAGACAATGACGCTCAGATGCAGGCAAGTCTTTGAATGCCAGGAGAAGTATTCCGATACGCCTTTTGGATCCTTATTGACTATTGCAATCGGCTTGACTCGCAAGAAGTACGTCCCCAGGAACTTCATCCCTAGTTCCAGGTTCCCGAGACCTCAGAGCCACTTGAGACCGCCCCCCAGACCTCCCAAGTGACTCGCTCCAGACCTCGCCGACCCCGGAGCACCATCCACCGATCCATCGAGGTGCACAACTTCCTGGCACCTTCCCCACACTGCACGACTCACCGCGAAAGCTTCATCTAAATGTGATCCTATCCATCAGCGACCCAAAACAGCCACATGTTCACACTGTTTTCTGAAAAAAAAGCATCATGTCTCGACGGTGACAACGGGACACACCAGCTCCGTCATCGTGCCCCTACACACCGGTCCTCGAGGAAGCAAGTGGCCCCAAGTTTGCCAGCGAAGCAGCTCTTCAACGGACTGGACTTAGATGCGAATGGCCGACTGGCCGTGGAGACCTGGACCATAATAGACTTGTTTTTTCCGGATCTTTTTTTTTTTTTGTTTATTACTTGTCCTATATATATAGGGCCTATAAAGCCTATAAAGCCTATGCCTGAAGCCCGTGGTGTCGGTCGTTTGTTGGGTGGTCTCGCTTGCGGAAGTCCGGAAAGGAGGTGGACATGAATGACATGGAGGTGGACCGGACGTGCGCGGTCTGTGAAACCCGCTTAAGCACTACTTCCCGGTCAGGGTCAAGCTCTAATCGCTATTTCCCAACCAAGAGCATCAAAGGAACCATAATTAAAATACAACCTTATCCTATTCCTTTCCACGGTAGAGCAGGGACAGAAGTTACAGGAAGCCTCGCAGGCAGGATGAACAAACCGGGGGAGGCCCCACGACCCCGAAGCATTTGATACCGATGTTTTTGACCTGCACCCGCAGGAACTTCCAAAAAACAGATTTGGTTTTAAAGATTAGGGAATCCATCTCTTCAGTGTCCCAAGACCCGAGACACAAGAAAAGCAGCCATCCAGAAAAAGCGAGATCTTTTGACTTTGTTGCATTCCTGTCGGCTGAAGGCAGAGGACTTAATGAAATATTGCTTCGTGTAGAGCATATGTGCTCGATTCGAGGCAACCTGACATTTTCATCGTCATGTGCAACACACCTTTCTCTCCTGGCCTCCAACTTAATATAGCGATATCCTCCAACCTGCCTCCAACTTAATAGCGATGGCCTCCAACCTAACAGCAATGGCCTCCAACCTAATAGCGATGGCCTCCAACCTGCCTCCGACCTACTAGCGATGGCCTCTAACCTAACAGCGCTGGCCTGAAAAAAAACAACGATGGCCTCCAAACTAACAGCGATGGCCTCCAACCTAACAG